GCGAACACGATAAATTCTAACGCTATGTCGTTAAGTGGCACTTGTTAGATAAGAATCAGCCCTTATGGACACGAAGCGCTAACTTTTAGTTCTAAAGGGAAGACAAAAGAGCTCGTTTAGATGCACCCCCCCCCCTTTATAAGATTAAGAATAACAAGAAAAACTGACTTTTTGGCAAGTCATCATCAGTGCTCGCTCAAGTCGAGCGGCGGCGTCGCTCAAGTCGAGCGCCGACTGCGCTCAAGTCGAGCGGCGGCGTCAGCCCTCCTCTCTGTGTTCTCGTCTATATATTTGCTTCACATACTAGATAGCTGTATCTAGTACACTAGACTCGCTTTTAGGCTGTTATCTCCTAGCCTACTAGCCTGCCATTACTCGCTATTCAGTTATTCGCTAGTTATTCGGTGGGTATTAAGCTTGTCTTCACGCACGCCTATCATATTGATTATTGATTATTGACTGCCGTCCTGGCAACTGGCTTCTTCTGAGACTGCAAACGGATCTGATTTATTCAATCCTAAGTTGAATTGGTACTCAGGGCACTACCTTTTTGTTCTGCCATTATTCGGAACTCCTGATTCGCTGCTACCGCATCCGGCTACGTGCCCTCGTACCTACGTCTGCTCTGTGGATATTTTGGAAACTGGATCCACGCAGTAGCTATGTACTGATCTAACTATTATTCGGAATCATTTTATAGTTGCTTACACTGTCTGCCTGAGACTCTTTCTCTGCTTTAGGATTCTCCATACTTGTCAACTATTCGGCGGACTTCTGGTATCCGCCATTTGGTTATTGCTGACGGCTACGCTTACTCCATCATCCAGCCGACCAACATTTTACTAGTATCTCAAATCCTCTCCTTGCTGGTTATTTTATATTTGGTATCCCGCTTTCAACTACTGGTGCCGCTACTTCGACGCCCTGTTTATCGACTGCGTTACTGCTTTCGAACGGCTGTCATCTCGTCGAAGAAGTTTGCACATCTGTTTGCTTTGCACATCTGTTTGCTTCATTTCTGTCAGACCGCTGTATTCTTCTGTTTTTATCGATTTAGTTATTCTAAGGATATTCCTGATTACTACTATTCTAGTATTCGCTAAACTCTATTACTGCTAATTGTTCTATCGGACCCGTTATGCCACGTGACACACCAGTTCTACCTAGACGCTCACTAGATGGCTTTAAAAAGAGGCGGTTAAACGTTGACTCGTCGCCCACTGGGGACTTTGCTTTGGCTGCGGAGCAACTCACAAAGGACGACTCAATCCCGCTTCACGTTCGGACCATACTGGCGGTTTTGTTGGACACCAGAGCTGAGTTGGATGCTGTCAACAAGAGGAATGCAGAGCTCTCCAGTGAAATCGAAAAGATGGCCCTCGAACTCAAAGCCCTGAGGGATGAAAACGTGAGTCTCCGGAGGGCTCTTGAGGATCAGAGGGGAAGAATTGAGTCGGATAAAAAGCTTGAGGTCCCACCTGAGATCCCAACTACTAATGGGCCTAGCAATAAAACCTCGGAATCTATTTGTGAGAGCATCGAACGTCGTAGGTCAGTCGTTGTAATCGGGATCCCCGAGAGCAACAGTAGTATAAGTAGCCAGAGAGTCATGCATGATAGAAATTGTGTTAGACAAATTTTAGACCATTTATCGATTGACTGTCTTCCCTTGGCTATTTACCGTATGGGGAAACCCTCGGCTTCGCACAGCAGGCTCGTAAAGGTTGTGTTCCCTTCCTCACAATTCGCCGCCCTCACTCTAAACAGGGCGCCGCTTATGCGCTTTTTTCCTTATAAGAGGGGGGTTTTTATCAGACCGTCCCTCACTAAGGAGGAACGGCAGCATATACGTTTGCAGAGGGGGACACAACCTAATCCCAAACAACCTAAACATCATTACGATACGGATAGGCTTCACCCTTCCCACAATGTCAGTTGTGCTGTTAATCTCAGTCATACTGTGAACCCTGTTATGTCCTCGTCGCCACATTCACATGATAGGACCATGCACAACATAGATGATTTGTCTTCTGATATTGCTATTGCGTCTCCGGTTATGTCAAACTCGTAAATACTCCTCGGATGCCAGATGCAAAATTAGTGTGCTTATATGGAAACATTCGTTCTGTATCAAGAAATATTGGTGACCTTCTCTATTTAATCCAACGTAACTACGATTTGGTTGTTTTATCTGAAACCTGGCTCTCTGAAACGATTTCTAGCGAATCCCTTTTTGGTGAATACTGTTCTCAATTTGATATTATTAGATGCGACCGTGAGGGCAGACGAGGCGGGGGGGTCGCTATCATTGTCAAAAGCATCTACGGTCCTTCCCTGATTTTTAAGGAATCAGTGTGTGACGCTTATGAATTGTTAGCAGTTGATCTCGATATTGCGTATACTACCCTTCGAGTTGTCGCAGTCTATAAAGCGCCCTCATGTTCGTCGACTGCCTTTACCCAGCTGCTAAAGGCAATTACTGACCTGGTTGCACACAATATCTCGTCTCTTGTTCTTGGTGACTTTAATATCCCTGAGATCACTTGGAGGGTGGATGGTCTACCCCGCTTCTCCAGCTCCCGTTCGGCCCGCCTCATCGACATATGCCGGGACTTAAATCTTCATCAGGTCAATTTCCAAAATACCCATGGGGATAATATTCTCGACTTGGTTCTCACCAACTGTAAGCACTTAATTCAGGACATCTGTACTGGCCCTCCCATGGGGTTCAGTGATCACTCCTCCATCAGTTTCAGGCTTAGGCTAAGACCTAAACCTGACCTCCCCTCTAAGCTCAGAAGAGACTTCAGTAGCGCTAATTTCGATTCAATACTGCAGTACTTAAGTGGCATTGATTGGTATGGATCGCTCAATAGCGCCCGCTCTGTCAACGATAAATATGAACTCTTTTTGACCATTCTTCATCACACTATCGAATTGTTCGTTCCACTTAAACCTGCAAAAAGTAAGGGCACCCTTCGCCTTCCGTCCTACTTAGAAAGGCTAAGTAAAAGGAAGAATGATGCCTGGAATATAGCTATAGGTGGTGACGACGTTAATGCTTGGGATAACTACAGAAAGCTCAGGCGGCTTCTTGACAAAAAGCTTAAGAAGTTCTGGTCTCGTGTCGAGAGGAAAGTGGTTTTTTCAGGCAATAAGAACTCCTTCTTCAAATTTTTAAGGGCTCGGCTCAAACCATCTAGAAAACTTGGGGTTATTATTGACGAGTCCGGTTTTAAGGTTACTAGCGATAAGGAGAAGGCGGAGTTATTTGCAAACATTTTTGACAAAGTGTTTGTGGAAGAAAGTAGTTATGAAGAAGCGGCGGTTTCACCGGCCTTTCCTGTCATGAATGACTCATTGTGGTTCCTCAGTCGTGACATTTGCAAGGTTCTCACTAGTTGGCCTAGATCATTCTCTGATACGCCTGACCACATCCCCCTATATTTTATTAAGAAGATTGCTCCCGTGATCTCTGAACCACTAGCTTTCATTCTGAACCTTAGCCTCATGAGAGCTGAGGTTCCGGATAGGTGGCGGATGTCATTTGTAACACCTATACCCAAGAAGCCGCCCCATAGTAGCCCTCACAACTACAGACCCATCAGCCTCACATCTATATTCGCGAGGTTGTTTGAGAAGATTCTTAAGAAAAAAATTATAAGTCATCTGGATGAGTATCATATAATTTCGGAATCCCAACACGGCTTTCAAAAGGGTAGGTCCCCGATTACAGCTATGCTTCAATCCCTCAATGACTGGACCGTCTGTCTTGATAAGGGGTTGTGTACGGATGTCATTTATCTTGACTTCGCCAAGGCATTTGACAGAGTCTCCCATGCAAAGCTCATTAATAAGCTTGTCTTAATTGGTATTCACCCCAGAATTATACTTTGGTTGAAAGCCTTTCTTACCAATAGGTCCTACCTTGTTCGAGTCAATGATGTCTTCTCGGAACCTCGAAAGATGTCCAGCGGAGTTCCGCAGGGGGGTGTACTGTCTCCAATCCTATTCAATATATATACTTTCGAACTGCCTAATCTAGTGGCCGAAAAGGGTGTCAAATGCGTTGCTTTTGCGGACGACCTTAAGTTATACTATCCCATTCGCTCTCTTGATGATGCGGTCGTACTCCAAGCGGCCATCGATGAAGTGTTCCGCTGGTCTACTCGGTGGAATTTACCCTTAGCGAAGGACAAAACCAAAGTTCTCGGTATTGGCCAGGCTGCCATTGAGACCGATTACTTCATCGATGGCGTTAAACTGGAAAGGGTTACGCAAATTAGGGATCTAGGATTTCTTGTTACCAAGAATCTTAGTTTTGACCAGCATTGTTCTAATATTGCCGCGAAAGCTATGGCACTCATGCTTAACCTATTCCGAGCCCTGTTGTCTGAGGATCCGGTTGTTCTATGTAGGGCTTTTAAGACCTATATCAGACCCTTGCTTGAATATGGAACGGTAGTTTTTAACCCCTATAAAGCCCGTGTCGTTAAATTGTTGGAAAGGATCCAGAATAGCTTCACGAGGAAGGTCTTTCTAAGATCTGTTGGGTTTCATTATGACAGGATCCCCGATAATGTAGCACGTAATGTCAACCTGAATCTCGAGCCGCTCTCTCTTAGAAGGCGTAAATTTGATCTTATAATGCTCTTTAAGATTTTCCATGGTTATACGGGTATTAGGCCAAGCACTTTAATGGAAATTCGTGAGACCACCACTAGGGGCCCAGTCAATAAAATTGCGGTTCAGCGAGCCAGGCGTAACGTTAGACAGCATTTTTTCTTAAATCGCACTGTCCGGGAGTTCCACAGGGTACTCTCCTCAGGGAGGTCAACCAATAAAATTACTTCCTTTAAAGCCACTTTGAACAAGTATCTCGCATCCTCTCCCCATAGACATCCCGTTTGATTCTTATTAGCAATTGTTCATTTTGTTGATAGTTGTCTTTCGTTTGTTCGCTGTCTATTTTCTTCTTGCGTTCACTTACATTGTTGTTACCTTGTTTTGGTTTTGTTTACTAATTGTCTTCATTGTACCACACGCTTTGCCGTGTAAGAACAATAAACAATAGACATTGCATGTCGGCAAGCTATCATCCACTACTGATTTTATTATGTCACAAAGTCGGAAAAAAAGGGCTTATACATATGATTAATGAATATCATTTGATAAGAAATTGTTTAACTCATAAGTCAAAACAATGTTATGTAATTTCTATTATCTAGCACAAGTAATCTAGAAAGAATGTATAACAATAACTAGTAGAATAGGTCATTAATTATATTGTTACCTATTATTCACCCCTCACAACAAGATCTCTTATGCACTCTGATGTACTTCATTTCCTTTCACTGTGCACCTCAGCAGCTCGAGGACGAGCTTTCTTCTACGGAAGGGAGTGGCCGCTATCTACCTGTGTGTGAGGCCGCCGTCTACCTATGTGTGACTAGTCTTCCAGCACAGTATCACCACATCCACGTATATCTTATTTTTTCCTACCAAGGCTTAATAATCCAGTGTTTATTGAACGTGAAGCCTTGACACCATTCTTCTTATGTTCTATCACATGACACTTCACTCCTGTACGTTCATTCGCATTGACTGCTGTGGATAATAGCAAAGCTCGAGGACGAGCTTACAGAACGAATGGAGATGTCGTGTCCTCGCGGAATGGTCAAGGCAGCGCGGGTGCCACCAGCCGTGCCACCCCGACTTACGATGGATGTTACAACGCCTACGGACGAGGATGGATACTGGAGGACGAGTCAGTCGTCTGCCTACACTCCCCCTCGGCTGCCCCTCAATACCCTCTCTCTATTCTATGTATATATAACTAATAAATATGTATAGCCCACATGTTTCTATGACTACATAACACCGCTACACCATCATGTATAGGCGTCCGGAACCTATAACATGATAAGCGTAAATGCATATGCTATGCTTTAGCTTCATTCAAAATGAACTAACTTGTCGTAAATTTCCAACTCTACGGATGTACGATGTCTCTTCAAATGTTTCTCAAAATAGTCCCAACTCAGTACTGTTAACTAGCCTTCCTGGGCCTTGAAACAGTGTTCGTCTGCCTACCCCGACCTGTGCTCTGGAGAGTTCTCAGAAACCAGACGTTCTGGAACCGGCTGTACCCACCCTACACGGCTTGGCAAAGGAGGTAGATATCCTATTGGGGAAAGAGCATGAATAGGCGCTGAGCCCGCTCATAGTCATCCGATTTTCGATATCATGGCAAAGGAACTCATAGAGGTGCCAGAAAACCCTGCTCTACGTTGACGACATTGTTTTGAGAGCGAGCAGCAGGAAAGAACTCCAGGGCAAGTTAAAAAGATGGCAGGATGAGAGTGGACTCAGGCTGAGTGTAAGGAAGTTTCCGAAATGTAAAGAAAGTACCCCACCCGCCA